GCAAACGAATCCCTGTAGATCAGTCTATTCATGCGGGACCTGACTGACAGATAACTCACGTACAGCTTCCGAGACTCTCGGTCTAACTGTTCTTCCTGAAGAGACAGGCGAGTTGTGACTTGTTTAGAGAAAAATCGAAGGCGACTAACTTTGAGGGTCGGAGAAACTAATTGAGGATGCCTCTGGGTAGAAGATGAACTTCCAGAGAACGAAAATGGTGTTGGAACCCTCTAAAAACAAGAGATGGAGACATTGTATTGTCACAGACAAACTCACAAAAAAAACAAGAAAAGAACCTTTCTTGGAAGTTCAGGTCCTGGAAAAGTATCCTGAACTCCTAGACGCATCAAGATTCGCTGGCTCCGATCGGACAAATTAAGCACATAGAAACAGAGCCACCAGAATAAACAGGGAGATGGAAAAGAACTAAGACAGGATGCGACGTACCATTACAGTGCGAACCGAAAAGACAGTATGCAGCCAGCGAAAGTCTTTAACGCCACTACTCTACTGAAGAACCTGGCAATAGACCAAATAGGTCAAAACCTAATGATAAGCACATGCCAATGCGCAACGGTCTCTGGAGTTGCCGGAAAACTTGGATGTAATCTTTGCAAATACAAATATTATCCATCTAGGTGTGTCACTCCTCAACGCTTACCGGCACCGAACAAGAGAAAGCTGAAAAGGAAAGACCAAAAAAGAACCTTCCATGGATTGCGTGCGTTATATGCGAAGACAAAGAGAAGACTGTATGCGAGCTTATGACGGACATTAAAAACATAAATTGCAAGTGGCAGGAGCTTTAGACAAAAGTGAACTCCAGTCAGGAAACTAAAAGCAGGTGACGTATTCCTTTTCAGTGGAAAGAAGGTGAAATGGAAGTCAAAAGCATGTATAACGGAGCAACTTGAGGGACAAAATTGCCTGTTCGTGGATCATCGATAGAAACAATATACATGTTTAAGCAGCTTCGATGCAATAACAACGGCTGAAGAACTCCAAGAAAAGACTGCGCGCGAGACAGGAAATGAAAGACGTAACTGTCCGGATCCATGAGAACCGGGGCATATGGTGAGGACTCAATCGGCACGCGTTGAAGCAACGAGCAACCGCAGAGGCCACCCTCTGTAAAAATAGCGAAGAATTAAGGTAGATGTGTACTTTTTGTTAGCAGAAATTGGATGTCCGGAGGTGCCATTCGCTGCCTGGAGTTATTGCCAGGCAACACTATTGGCAAACCAACTGCCCGCGGC